AGTAGAGAGATGTGTATAGTAGACGTGCAGACATGTGAATGAGTTATTCAATAAAGACATTAGCTCATGAAAAAGAAATATTTCTGAGGAAAATTCATGTTTACTGTAATATGAATTTGAAAAAAAGAACAAACAAAATTGATCATATTTAGATACACATAGTACATAATATTTATAAAAACATCAAAACTATAAAAATTAAATATCAATATATAAATTTTTAAGAAATCTTATTAAACAATATACATTCAAAATAAGTAGAATATTTCATGAATAAACTATTATATTAGATGCAACAGAAAGGTAACAAAAAAAAGTTAAAACATATCTAGAATTTTTATTTATAGAAAAAAAAATATATAGATTTATGAATGAAATAAAACGAATAACAAATGATATAAATCATTTAATGATTATTGATGATTTATATGAATAATTAATTTTTTCTTATCCATCGATTGATGCTATGGATTCATTTCGTTGACGTGCTTCAGGTGTTCGATTCCATGGTTGTTCTTCACCATTAAATAAAATACAATAAGCAACACAACCTAATACACCAATACCAGCTGAAATATTAAATATAAGACGCCAAGCTTCAATTGTTTGCTAAATAATTCACGAAAAAAAAAAACTTAATTAATAAACATTTATCTTATAAAAATAAAATCTTACATTTTTATTTGTAATGGCACCTACAACATAAGGTGCAATAAAACCAGGTATTGCTGCCAAAGAATTCGTAATACCCATTAATGTTCCTAATAAACAAAAAAAAACAAAGAGTTCAAATTAAATATAAATAAACTTCTTTTATTAAAAAAAGTTTTACCAGCATAGTTTGATGCAATATCAAGATGAGACGTTAATGGACCACATGTATGTAAACCAAGAAAGCCAACAGCAATAATACAACAAACAACTGCACCTATTTGATTGCATCCCATATAAGCAATTCCAATCAAAAATGAACATGTACCCAGAGTACCTTATAATCAAAAATGACACATTGTTTTTTTTTTGAAAATTTTTCTTTATCTTTTCTTTCTTACCAATAATCGCCTGTCCTTTTCGAAGTATTGTTATTGATAAAATATTTCGTCTTCGTATACGATCTACTATAGGTCCCATTATAATTGTTACCAAAAATTGTGCAAAATAAGGTAGAGCAGATAAAAGACCATTCTAAATCATCAAAGAGTTAAATAAAAAACAAAAATTTTTAAATGTCAAAGGCAATTATAAGTTTTTCGATGATTTTTGACTATAATCACAAAGACTTTTCCCATCTAATAATGTATACATTATTAAATACTACTGCATAATGTTAACATGTCAACGGTACACAATAGAATCAGATAATATATAAATAGAGATGTAAGCCGATCAACTGACCTGTCGCTACTGTCTTCAATTTTTTGGAGGAAATTCTCAATCATCACCACTGATGGTCACAAAACAAGTCTGACTTGACTTGCCCAACTCTGTTCGAAATTAAGAAAATTTCTGCTACCGCCAATCAATGTATCGGCTTACATCTCTGTACATACATCATTCGATAAAAGAAGTCTTTGTCTACAAGTCTATGTACATCCCGTTCTGTAGTTAAAATCTTCTAGTCATCTTTTATTACCTGATGTAAATTAAAATTAAGTATAGTAGCAAAATAAGTTGGCAATGATGTTAATAAAGTATAATAAATATAACTGTGACAAACATGCATCATAATAATACCATATAGTGGTAGACAACGAAGTATATATTTCCATGGTGTTTTTCGATTCTTAAAAAATAAAGAATAAATATTAATAAATATTATTTAGTTTCAATACTTGGCGTATATGTGTTTTTATATGTTGTTTAAGAAAAATACGCTCTTTTTCTGATATACGTGGATGTTGATCTGGTGAATTAAAACCAAAAATACACCAACCACAAAACCATAGACAAGAGATTACGCCTAATAATCCATAAATATATATATATATATATATATTAGTTAAATTTTACTAAAACACAATTTTTGTTTTACCAAAAACATAAAATGCTGATGGCCATCCACCAAGAAAATGTTCTGCAATCATAATACTAACCAATGGTGCAGTAACAATTATTCCGACATTTGCACCACTATGTGCTGCTGGTGGAATTGTACTACGTTCTGATTGTGGTATCTTTTGTAAAAAAAAAAACAAAAATAAGAATTCATTTTTTTCCTAAACAACGTCAGTATCTTTTAATTGATACCCAATTTCCCCAAAGAGCAGCTGCTGATGGAAATCCTGGACCACAAACAATACCAGTTATAAATCGTATTGCAATTAATAATCCAACATGTGTACGAGCTGCTAATGGTGTTAATAATGTTAATAAACCGGCTATTAATACACATCCACCAAATATCCATTTAGCACCAAATTTTTCTGCAAAATTTCCTGTACAAGAAAATAGAAACATTTTTATTTATAATGAATTTATTTTTGAAATTTATTAATTACCTGCTAGTCTATAGAACAAAAAATAAAAATTCATTTTAGAAAAATAAAATGGTGAATATATTTAATTTTCTTACATTTGCATTGTAATATAACCATAAAAAAATGCTCCGAGAATAAATCCTTGAAGTGTTGGACTCCAATCGAATTCATATTTCTAATAAAACAATATACAGATTATTTATTTATAAGATAAATCTAATCAAATAGATATATATATACTGGTGAAGGTGTTGTAGAATTTTTATTTAGTGGTAGACATGATTGAATTGATTCATTTAAAGCACTTTGTGGTGTTGCCTAAAGAAAAAAATTTTAATTCTATTATATATCATATTATTAATGTACAGACCATAGCAACAATAGCTACAGATAAATTGACTCGCAAAGAATAAAGACAAAAGAAACCAAAGAAAGCCCATGTAGCAATAATATAACGTGCAGATATATTTGAACATCGAAAGATGCCTGTTAAAGGTGGTTCTACTCGAATATCATCTAATACAAGTTTTATTTTTGACTGTGTTTCATTAATTGAATTAACATCCACAGTTGTATCGTTTAAAGTATCTATTAAAATTGTCTCATGATGTTGATCATCTTTTGTTAATGTAAATAATTTGTCATTATTATGAATAGTTTTAGTATCTAAATTAATACCTGAACGTCTTTCACACATTGTATCTCACGTTTTATATACTACATATATGCGCAAATCAAAACAATGTTTTTTTTACAAATAAAGAACCAACATTTAATGCAATAATGTCAATAACACTCAGATACCTATAGAAAGATATGGTTTACACCATTTTTTACTTATCTGACAACTTATACTTTTATCTTTGTACTATGGTCCCATTTCACATTGTTTAGCTAACATGACTCATATGGATAAAGGGTCATCCATAGAGAATGTCCAAGTGAAAATCACATCTTTTGAGGGATGTGTGGGTGTTTTTCTTTTCATATATAATCACACCCTTCTTCTATTAATTAAATAAATTATATTGATGAAATAAATTCCATGTTAATATAGATAATTATTTTAAATTTTGAATGTTTTCATCAAGATTTTCAAACTTATATTCTCATATTAATCTTTATTTGTTTATCTTGATTTAATCAAGAAATATTTTTGAATTTTTTTTTTTCTATAAATATGTTAAATAAAAAAAAAGCGAAAAGTATATTGCTTACTGAATCGAGAGCACTAAAAAATGTTCCTCAAATAAGTAGTGTTAAGATAAAAACAATAACATGAATTTATTTTATTAATGGAATTAGTTGACGCATTAAGGATAATAAAGTTTTATTATCATTATTTTCATTTAGATTTTTATCAAGAGAAGATTCATTAGATTTATTTTTAACAGATTTTTTCTTATTAGTTTTTTAAGATTGAATACGAATTAAACTTATCATTAGAATTGATAGAAAACTAAGACATAAAAGCAGATAAACCAGATTCAATTAAATAAATTCGAACGATGTAAACTAGAAAAAGCAATTGTTGTAGATATTATTGTTGTAATTGAAAATAAACTAAGACCAATTATAATTAATAATGAATACAAGATAACATCGATAATTTGTCTAGACTGATGTGACTCATGACAAAGATTATCTATTGAACATTTTATATCATATATGGCTAATTTATTATTTCTCGTCAATGACATCATATTCAATTCAAATCAAGTAGATAAGTTGATTATTTATTTTCAAAACAATTTTCAATAATGATTTATCAGAGAAAGATTCTATGATTTATTTCATCTACTCTCACCTAACTAACATATTCGCCTTTGTTTATTAATGTTTCTTGTCGAGACGTTCTTTTTGATATAGATCAATGAATTCATCAAATTTTTTGTTGTTGTTTTGTTGGGTGTGGATGGGTAAAGTGAAGGGCAACCAAACCAACATTTACAGCACACCTCACACGAACACCCACACCCTTACAAAAAGGAGAGGCATATGCATCCATGGCAGCAAGTTCAAAAGTGTTTAAAACTTGATTAAAGTATAAAATTCATTAGCTGAGAGTTGAAAAATATTTGTGCCATTCCGTAGGAAAAGATCTCAATCATTGTTTCTTACGTAGTCTATCCACCAGCATTTGATTCTCTTTTACTTCCGAATGGTCAGAACCGAAAACTAGACGAGCCGTTTCGATAGAACTTTCAGCATGTTTAAGAGCTGCTTCATTATTTCCAAGACGTTCATAATTGAATCGCAAGTGCCTTTTCATAGAATAATCGCAATGTTATTATATACGGTTGCTAATTCACAATTATCTGTAGACGAAGATTTTTCTTGAATTTCGATTGATTTCTTATAAAATTCGATAGTATTTGAATAATTATCCATCGAATAAAATATGGATGCAATACTATTATAGATTATTGCTAAAGATGAGTCATCAGTTGGAAGCTTATTTAGTAGAATTGCGAGAGCCTTTTTATAAAATAGAAGAGCATTCGATTCATCGTCTATTGAGTTATAAGCAACAGCAATATTGTTATATATCATTGCTAATTCGAGATTATCTACAGACGAAGATTTTTTATGGAATGATATACTGATCCAATGCTACTATAGATTGATGCTAATACTGAATCATCAGGTATAAGAGATTTTTCTCGAACAACTAGTGCTTTTTCATAAGATGAAAGTGCACTTGTATAATCTTCTATTAATCTATAAGCAACATCGATATTATTGTATGTAGTTGCTAGAGTCGAGTCGTCAGTAGTTGGCGATTTCTCATGAATGTGAAGCGCTTTCTTATAAAATGAAATCACATTCAAATACTCTTCCATCTCATAATATGTTGAAGCGATATTACTGTAAGTTGAAGCAAGTACTAAATCATCAGAAGACAAATTTTTCTCTCGAATGGTCAATGCCTTTTTACTAATCCAAGATTATTGTATGAAGTAGCTAAGTCACGATGATCGGTGGAAAGTGATTTTTATTCAATCTCCAGTGCGTTTTCGTAATACGAAAATGCATTTTGATAATTATTCATCTCTCGATAGGCTAAACCGATGTTGCTATAAGTAATAGCCAAACTATGATTCTGAGGCTTAGGAGCTTTAACTTGTATTTCGAGTGCTTTTTTCGAAAAAAGAAAGAGCAGTGGAATAATCCTTTATAGAATGATATGTTGATCCAATTTCGTTATAAGTTGTAGATGTTTCATCCAACTGAATAAGTTGAGAATTATTTTTACAAATTTCATATGCTTTTTCATATAAAGAAAGTGCAATCTTGTAATCATGTATAGATTGATGAACTGAATCAATATTGTTTTATGTAGTTACAAGTGATGGATGGTTTGCAGGAAGTTTTGTTTATTTTCCATAGAACTGTAGATCGTACCAAGGTCGTTGTAAGCAGTAACAAGATCTGGATGCCTTTGTACGAAGTGAACATTCTTGAATTTCGAATGCTTTTTGATAATATTCAAGTACTTTCGATTTGTCTCCCATTACACTGTAAATAGAACCAAAATTACTGTAGCTGGTAGCTAAGTCCGGATGTTTTGAAGGAAGATATTTTTCTTGAATATGAAGTGCTCGTTGATAAGTTTTAACAGCAGTAGAATAGTCTCCCATTTATTGATGTAATCCGCCAACAGTATTATATATAATTCTAAAATCGGGATGGCTCGATGGAAGTATTTTCTGTCGAATTTCGAGCGATTTTTGATAAAATGAAAGTGCAGATGTAAAGTTCCCTAATGATGCATACACTCCAGCAATATTATTATAGACCAGAGCGAGAGTTGGATCGTCAGATGATAGAAAATTCAGTTAAGTTTTGAGTGTCTTTTCATAGTGTGAAATTGCAGTTTGATAATCATCTTTCTCACTATAGACATATCCAAGTTGATGATTGAGATGAGCATGTTTTCGCCAATTGGTTTCATCATCTGCATTTATTTGTGGTTTAATAATTTCTTCAGCTTGATTGTATTCGCCTATCGTAAGCGTTAGATGAGTTAGTTTGTTCAGTGCAGTACCTTCGCCAAGTTCTTTTCTCATATAATTAGTAAGGTTTTTTGAGTTGTTCATCATTGCCTTTTGTCGAAGCTAAATTGACTCGCCAGAATCGTTCCTTAAGTTTCTGTAGATCCATAATTCGAAAAATAGTATGCATAGAGAAAATAATTTCACTTTCATATTTATATGCGCTGTGTTTGTCGATAAAAGCAAATGGAATTGATGAAATCTTCGGATCGATTTCTATGTGAAATAAAACTGCGATAAGCTTTGGATTCTTGTATGCATTTTCTGCAAAGTGAAATGAGATCTTTCATCGAGAGTTGTCGGCAAGAAACTGTTGAAAGAGAGAAGACCACCTTGACTTGCATGTACTTTTTCTATATCAGTAGATGCCATGCCTTGTCCTCGATAAACAATAAATTTATTATGATCACGAGTTTTCGATTGTTCATTATGCATATTGACAATTTGTTTATGAAGATCATGTAGAAAGAATCCAATTTTCATTATGGTTTCAACATTTTGTTCAGGCAAAGGTCGATTTAACATTGAATAAAGGAAAGATTCTTTTGTGTACCATTGAATAGCTAAAGTATTTTTATATTCTTGTTCAAATTCCTCGATTAGACTTAATTGAAAGATATCGTCAGCATACTTTGTTTGACAAAAGTCAACCAGCTTAGTTTCTGATGTATGATCGTGTTTCATTTCGAGTAGAATTTCTTTGAGCAGTTGTGTATACATATATGATTGAACTAATTCATTTGCGATTAAACTGGGGATGTCTATCCTACGTATGATACTAATTGAAGTCAAGCTACCGACCAGACCGTTATCAAGTTTAATCTTTTGAAAAATATCTTCCATTCTAAACAAGATGTATTTTATTTTTTCGGACCACTTATTTGTCCAAGGGCATTTTTGTCCTCTTATTTTGCTAAATATATAAATACTGTCGAGTTGCGGTACAATTTCTTCACCCAAATCATCCGATACAATGAGAAATACCTTTCTGTCATTAATATTATCAATATAATTTATGCATTGTTCAGCATTGGTACATGTATAGATTACATGCGTGATTCGTTGCAGTTTCGTCATTGCATCATGATATAGTTTTTTTTATTTGATCAATATTAGCATCAATCCAAATAATGACAAGATGTTGATTGAGCTCATGCTCCAAATGTAATGAAGAAGTTTGGGATTTTTTCTGTGGAATCGATGGTTTAATAATAGTGGCACTTTTGTCAGATGTGACACTTGCTATACTCTTGCTAACGCTTTTCTGAGATGAAGGGTGTGGGTGTGGGTGTAGATGTGGGTGTGTTTCTTTTCTTTTTACATCGACACCGACACCCTAAGAAAAGAAAAGTAAAATAATCAATTTTCTCTAACTCTTTTCGACTTCTGCTTGTGAATGGAGACCTGGATGAAGTAGTTCTCTTCGTTTTTGTTGCTTTTCCCTTGTAGTAATGTGGTCGAATGAGGGTTGTGATTTTGTAAAAAAGGGTTTCTTTCTGACTTTATGTGATTGAAGCGTTTCTGCTAGAAGTGGAACAGTTTCTCTTCGATAGGAAGATATGGTCCAGCCCTCCTTAGAAATCAGGATTGGATGAAAATTATACATATGTTTGCGACGATGAAAACTCCCGGTCCAAAAATTTTATTAAATGAGTTAGTGCATTGGCAAAATGATTGAGACTTTTAGACAAAAATGTCATTTTACGCAAGCAGTGTCTAAAAAACGAGAGCGACGTGTATCAGTTCAACAAAATGATGATGCTGTTAAAAAAAATCTTCTCTTAATTTGAGTCTGTATCGACCAAAAATCCTTCCAATGTTTTAAAATTGAACACAATGTCTGATACTTAATCGGAATATTTTCATGTCAATCATACAGATCAGTTATGTTTCAATTTTCTTTGAATAAAGCAGCATAGCAGACTTTACCAATACTTCACCTTCATTCTGATGCTCTGATATATACATAAACGATTCGATAATTCATCTAAATTTTATGCAGTATAAGTGCTAAAACTAAAGATTTTGTATTGCTCAAGATTTTCTAATGTAAAAGTAATGAACCAATGTCTTGGCTAATCATTCACACTTTCAAATCAGAAAGTATTCCTTCTCTATTCTAATGATAAAAAAATCAGTCACTGTGATATATTCTGAAAGGTGTCTGCAAGTCAGGCTGATGCAGCTATTGATATTTCGTTTGATTTTGAGCAACTATGACCAAGACAAAAAACTATATGATTTTTCCAGATGATCTCGAAAAAGACATATGCCAGTTTCCTTCTGGTTTATGGGTAGCGCACCAGCAGATCAAGGAGTGGCAATTGCCTCCCCTAATAAAGATTAGAGGAGGCAATAAGAACTTATTGTCTCCCATAATTTCTCATGTCTTCTGAGTACGCTAAAGTAAAATTACTAAAAACTCAACAGACAGATATTCAATATGAGTCTGGAAACAATGTTGGAAGATTGACCTATAGTGTCATGAATTTATTTATTGTTATCTAGCAAATATATTCCTTCCTATATACTATATTTGACAATATTTGTCGGACGATTTTGCTTGGTGTATAATTTTCTTGTAAAGTTGACTTTAAAGGCGCAGCTTGCGTCAAAATTATAGTCAGCATCTATACTGTAATCCACAGAAAATTTCATCCCTAAATGTTGAGTCATAGCAAAACTGGAGATATAACAATGTGAAGTAGTCATATCTTGTTGGACAATTTGTTTCAGATGATCTTTTAAATTGCTTTATTTTTTTTCACAATTGTTAGAAAAGAACTGAACTATATGAATAGAAAGAGCAAAACACGAGCTACATTTTAATGATTAAAACTTTCTAAAAGGGAACTAGGGTGTGGATGTAACTGTGGAGGTCGATGTGAGTCTACAGAGCATTAACATCCACACAAATACTGTTAGCAGTAACTCATTCTTATTCCTGTCCTTGCTGTCTCTCTATCTCTTTGTAATTGTTATTCTTTTTTTTATCTCTTCGATTCTCTATTGTATGTTGTTATATATATATATATATGTACGTATTATTAAGGATATTTTAGAAGATATATATTTAAATAAAATAAACGTAAGCTCGTCGAAGCCAGCTAACACATACTCACAGCCACACTCACATCTTTCTTTTGAATTTTTTTACAGAAAATTTTGAAGAAATTCCAAAGCAAAGTTCAATAAATCGATATTATCTCGACTGTTTGAAAAAATTCTACATCAAGAAGTTGGAGAAGACTTATATTTTACGATACAATAATGTATTCGTTTATTATATATGACGGCATCCACCATCACATGGCTAATTTCTTCGTCAGTCGAGCACTTTGCTGCTTATGAGTGCAGTTTATTTTTCTTTTCTTACCTCTTTCTTCTGTATTACACTAATTGTACGTTCTTTCTTTCGTTCTCTTCTTTCCACGTGGTTATTCGTGTTCGTGTGTTGCTTCATCAGTTACTATACTTACGAATGTCGTCATCCGTTGCACTTTAATATAATAAAAACGAATAAGGCAGTAAAATAGCGCAACAAAACGGCCTTGTTTTAAAACTGCTGCACCCCATTTAAAGTCTGTTGTGTTTCGCTTCTTTTTCTTACATTTGCACGATCTCACGTTATTGGATGATGAATAAGCAAAATTTTCAAGGAGAAAAGCAGATAGACTCCTGTGCCACCTGCTGATTCTCAAAGTTATGCGAGTCTCGAGAGTTTTGCTTTGTTCCTTAGCTAAAAGTCTATTTTCAGAAAGGATCCATCTTGAAACCCACTGGAAGTCATTGGCGGTCACTGCAGTCACGGGAGCCATGGACTCTAGAGTCAACTTTTTTCCCTTAAAAATAGTTGCTTTCTAGTTTTACTCGAATAGTACAAAACCTATTTATTGTGCTTTGGTATACAATCTATACGCAGACTTGATCTCCATGGTAAACCGTCAGCAAAGTTCCCTGACATGATTTTCGAGAAGTTTGATCAATAGGTTCAAATGCTAATCTTTTTCGTCTCTTCTAGAAAATAAATTTCGTTATTTATTGGACTACGAACAGTGCTCAATAATACAAAATATATCAAGGATATAACGTCGTATTAATAAATTTCACTTTTTCATGGGTTTTTACTCAAAGTCCTACGTAATCATTATCATTATTGTCATTATTGCTGCAGTTATTCAAACTATCAAGATATATCATCGTGCTACAACTACAATTATTGGATGGAACCAGAAAGAACAGCGCTTTTTCCAATGTCGAAAAAAATGGAAACTGACTCATGTGAAATCATTCTATGATGTAGACTGTACGAATCCATTCCTGAAAGCATTAGCGAATGATATCGAAGCTGCAAAAAAAGTTGATGTTTGTAATAGCTTCAATCCATTATATACTAGGATTGCGACTATTTTTCGTTCATTCAAAAAGTTCCAATTGACAGATTTCAACGAGCTCCTAATATCGTGTCCACAGTGTCATCATTTGCAAGTGATAGATGGAAAGCTTTACGATATTCCGCGCCCAAAACCGATGAATTACCAAACACGTAGTCAAAATGTAAAAACTCTGTTCAAATATGTTATTGATACTTTTAATGACATACCAAATATGGAATTTCTCATTCATGTTGGAGATTCGGTCGTCATGAAGAGAAATACCACGCATCCTTCAAAATGTCCCGTTTTTGGCTTTGCGAATTACAAGAATAGTATAGCCAATGGTAAATACACAGACGGAGTTGTACCAATTCCGTGTTTTTCATTTTGGAGCTGGCCAGCAGCACGAATTACTAGATGGAGTAATAAAATGATTAGTATCAAGCAAGCAGGCAATAGTAATACTTTTGCTAAGAAAAAAAGTAAATTATTTTGGCGTGGAGCTCGAACTGGTCATCGAGTTGATTTCGTATCTATAACGGAAAAGCATCAGCAAATAATGGACGTTTCTTTTATGGATTGGCAAAGATCTAGATTTTTAGGATCTTCAACACACAAACAATATCGAACGCTCGAGCAACATTGTGACTATAAATATTTATTACATCTTGAAGGAAATACATTTTCTGGCAGATTAAAATATCTATTACTCTGTGGTAGTCCGGTAATATTTGCAAATATCAATGGATGTGAAGAATTTTGGTATCATCTGTTGAAGCATCAAGAGAATATTATTATTCTTGACTCACGTAGTGAGACGTTACTATTAAATATGACGAACTATTTATTTGAAAATTCAGAACGAGCTTCACGCATAGGCATAAATGGTCGAAATATTGTGTTGAAGTATCTCAATGAGCAAGCAATCATCTGTTATATGAGAAATGTACTCCTCACTTATAGCAAGTTGATCGATTATCAAGTGAGAAAACGTGATTAAGTTACAGAAAAACTTCTCTAAATTGACACTGAGTTTGGGTGTGGATGTAGGTAAGTGTGGGAGTCTTCTGTTCACTGGAACCTTCACTCGTATATGAGTGATTCATACTTATTCTATGTATAGAGGTGTTGCTGAGTAGTTCAATGGAG